TGCACGTGTTTTGCTTGCTTGAGCGTTTCTGCATTATATGAGTAGCTTTGGAATGCTGCGATTTATATGTTTCAGATGAAAAAACGCGACTTCTATTTCTGAAAATATCACAGTTAGGAGATTTATAACGAGTGGTTCCCTGCATTATTACAGGAAAGCGCGTGATTACAGTACTGAGCCGCTGCAGTGGAGCTGCTCTAATGCTATTAAATGAAAGATGATGTACCACAGAGTGATAGAAATGTGGGACCAAAAATTATTCAGACAGAGTCTGGGAAAAAAACAATGAAGTTGAGGTTTGCATGAAGCTGGGTGACAGCATGCCCAGGAGACTACAGGCTGTCATTAAGGCTAAGGGTTGCCCGACTAAGTACTGATAGTTGTGTAAATACTGTCATACTAACGGCTGTCTAATTTTTGGTTGATTGTAATCTATTACATACCTTTCTATCAACGTTATCTAACATTATCAAGATGAATTTGTTCTGACACAGTTTAACTCTTGAGTTCTTGTCATATTTTATTACCATTTTCTAAACTATAGCGAATAAACTGTGATAATGTGAGAAATGTTGAAGGTGTCTGAATAAATGTTGGTTTGACTGTATCTATTTGATAAATGAAGTTAACCAACTAACATTATACATACTCTTTTGGTTTCTGTACCCAATATTTAAAAAATGTACAAATGCAATAAAAATATTGGTATCGGTACTCGGTATCGGCAAGTACCAAAAATAAAAGTATCGGTATCGGGCCAGTACTGGAAAAAGTGGTATCGGTGCATCCCTAGCGGAGACCAAACTTGGGCTTCTTACGCATCCCTTTTTAGGTGTGAGTTTTAATAGGGGTGCTAATGGAGTCTTAAAGGGATAGTTTGTACATTTATTCCCTCTCTTCTATCTTGTGTATTGTTTTTCTTCAACTCCTTCCATTCTTTGTTTCTTCTCTTCAGTCCGTGGGCAGGAGAATGGGTTGGATGGGGCCAAGGCAGGTGGAGTTGCAGGCAGAGGAATGGAGCGAGGCCGTCGGGGAAGAGGCAGAGGAAGAAGCGAGTACTACTGTTGATAATGATTAACTAGAATGAAAATGTGTAGTGGTTTTGGTTTGACTTCATCTTTCTGTCCTACAGGTGGAGCTGGAAGGCGAGGAGGGAGGTTTTCAGCTCAGGGCATGGGGTAAGTTTGTGTGCTAAGTTCTCTTTTTGCATGTTCTCTAGAGATCTCCCAGATTGTCAGATTCTGGGAAATGCTAATGGTATCCAGCTAAAATTCATAATCTTGTGCTTCAAAAACATGCAAGGAATGGTGTTTAGCAGTTTTTAGCAGAGAACTCTGTTCTGTTGATTCCAACCTGCTGGGTTTAAGGCCTGCTGCTGTGCTTATCTTGAGACTCTGTGTGCAATTATAGCCTGTAAACCTTAAAGATTTTAACATGTTTTCTATGCAGAGGTTTAACCAGGTAAGTAAGAGCTACTGTGGGGTTATTTGCTGCTTTTTGGTGCTATGCCTTTTAGGCTTGATGACACAGTGCGCTAAATTGATGGCCACTAGGGGTGGGCGGTAGAAATACAGGTAGAAGGGTCAAACTCTAAAAATTTGAGTCATTTGTATTGCTGTTATCAAAATGCCACCTCAGAGTGTAGGGAATGTCTGTTGCACTCGCTTGATGTTTAGAAAGAAAATGAACAAGATTGTTAAACCTAATTGTTATACCTGCACCTTCACTTCTATTGTCAACATGTAATGAGAAGTTTATATTCAGTGGATTACCTCAGGTGTTAAATAGTGCACTGTCATTAAAAAGTTTGGATTTAGTCGTTTATTTATGGAAAGAAAGAGATTTGATATTTTATTCAGCAAGAATGCACTAAAATGATCCTGAAATATTAAAAGAATCAGAAAACTAGAAGAAGCATCACGGTTTCCATAAAAATATGAAGCGGCACAACAGTGATAGTAAGAAATGGAAAAGTTCATATAAATTGTAGCAATATTTCACAATGTTAGTATTTTTGATTAAATAAATTAGGGATGCACCGATATGAACATTTTGGCCGATACTGATAACCGATAATTCTTTATTTTTGAAAGCCGATAACCGATATGTTGGCCGATAAATCTATATCCAAATTTTTATATACTTTGAGAGCCTGATTACAAAAAAAGTTCTCGTCATTAAAACCCACATCCCAAACCCTTCAACATAAGCAGCCTAGTTTGAACGGTGTACGTTTTAAAAATAATTTTCTCTATCATCGGCCAAATTTTCTTATCGGGCCGATACCGATAACAGAAAAAATGAGCATTTATCGGCCGATACCGATATGGTGGCCGATATATCGTGCATCCCTAAAATAAATAGAATTATAAATGAGCATGAGACTTTTCAAAAACAAATACAAAAAAATATTATTTGTACTGTTTTATTGATAGTTGATTCATTGAAATGTATATGACTAAATCGATTTATGACTACTAGGTTTTTTTTTTTTTGTATTTTGGGAATAGCTTTTAGAAGAAAAACAAACTCCTGACTAAAATAATTGTCCAAAGTGTATATTCTATGATTGTCATTTAAATGTACAGATTTCCTGCATAGATTTGTTGCCCACCACTAACAGTAACCAAGATGCATTTTAATATTTTGAAGCAGCACTATGGCAAGAATAAAAATGTTTGTCTTTCATACTGTTGTTTAGCAATATGAGGAGTTTCATTGTCATTGTAAACATCTAGTTTAACTTTTTACGGCAATATTCAGTAGGCTAGAATCTAGTCATGTCACGCCCCTGGACTGGTTTTCTTTTTCTGTCAAGGCCGCCTGGTCACTTTTCTTTGACTTGCAGTCAGGCTTTTTAACTGGCCCCTTTCGCTTGTTTGGTTTGAAGTGTGCTTTTGGATTTTGCATGTTTGGTTTTCAATTCTTGGCCTCTGAACCTGCAGAGTACCAGTTTAGCCTTGTCTGAGCTGGCTAGTCACATTACAACCGTAGCTGTTTCATTCTAAAGCATTGTCTTATGCTTTTACACCTGTAGAGCAGGTGTGGTAATTTGACCAGCTATGGACGTGAGCATGATGGTTGCCATCGCTCTCGCGCTCTCTCTGTCTTGTGCACACACTCAAGCACATCTTTGTTTGCACCATGCACCCCCGTCATTTTTGCCTGTGTTGAGTTGCTTGTAATTCTCCCTGTTGTTTCTCCCTAAAGCCAGATTGATAAGGGCCCCAGATATGATTTGTCAGGAGATGAGAGGTGAGTTAAATACATTTATGAGCGTGTTGGTTTTGTTTGTGTAGGATCAAAGGCTTTATAGTGGTTAGTTATTGAAGAATGCATCAGAGTTTGAGCTTCATATGTGTTTAGTTTCCAGTGATTTGGTTTCCTGGTTTGAGAGTGAGTGGAAAGCACATTTGCGTCTTTGGTATAATTGAATTTAGAGCGTTATGACATAGGAGTGTTTTTTGTTTTAGGTCGTAGTGGATCTGTTGAGTGATTTTTGCAAATTTTTACTGATGGTCGCTGATGTTATTGCTTGCCTCCCTCATTCACTCAATGTTCCCTCAAAAACCAAAATTTTAATTTGTTTTTTAGTACGTTTAACCCAGCGGACTACACTGAGCCAGCCCAAACAGAGGAGAGCTACACAAGCGGCAGCGCTTGGAGTAACACAGGCAACCTGGAACCCGAGGATGGAAACAGTGAGTGATGCCATAAGTGTCTCTTGTAAACCCCTCCTCAGTTCCCGACACTGTTGGCATTTCTCCAGGCTGAAATACACAGTCCATTTAAAGGGATACTCCACCCCAAAATGAAAATTGTCAATCACTTACTCCCATGTCGTTCCAAACCCCTAAAAGCTTTGTTCATCTTTGGACGCATCCGCGCTGCATGGATGCTCTGTTTTCATTCAATTCAAAGTGTAAATAAACATAGAAAACGTATCCTTGTCGCAGCTGACACAGAATACCGTACGCTGCTTGGGTTCAGTGGTTATTCTCCAAAATGGCATTACGGTGATGTGGAGAGACACAGAGGAGACGAATTGTTGAATAAAGTCGTTATTTTTGTTTTCTTCGTGTACAAAAAGTGGGCTATTCTCGTCACTTCATAATGTTACGGTTGAACCACTGATGGCAGATGGACTATTCTGACGATGTCTTTCATACTTTTCTGGACCTTGACAGTGTCATTTACTTGGCAGTCAATCGGACAGTCACAAGCCTCCCGGTTTTCATCCAAAATATCTTAAATTGTGTTCCGAAGACGAACGAAGCTTTTAGGGGTTTGGAACGACATGGAGGTAAGTGATTAATGACAATTTTCATTTTGGGGTGGAGTATCCCTTTAAAACGCGTATGTAAGGGTTGATGTTCTGACATAAATGTTTCCACAGGACTTGAGTTTACAGGTGGAGAGGGAACAAACTATCCTCGAAAGTTTGACTCGGCCCCTGGTGAGTCTGGCACTGGCTGCTTTGCTAAGGATTTGTTTACCTGTTGTCATTGTAAGTGAGCTAAATGTCTGTGTAACAGGTGCTTGGAGAACTGCCACAGAAGAGTGGGGCATGGAGGACTGGAATGAGGATGTGAGTATTTGATCAGAGAACAAAAACCTGCTTTTCAATTTAAGACTAAGCAAAGCTAACTCTTGTTCTCTGTTTAGTTGTCAGAGACCAAGATATTCACTGCCTCCAGTGTGGCATCCATGCCCATTCCACAGGAGAATGTCACCATTACTGCTGGACAGAGGTAAGCCAGTGGTGATTTCAAGGCATCAGTGAAATTCACTTATCATATAAAACATCTTTTTTTTGGCTAGGCATACCATTCAGAAGTCTGGGGTTGTTGTTTTTTTTTCTTACGTCAGTGAAGGCTGCATTTAAAAAAAAAAAAAAGATTTTAATTAATAAATTAAAAACAAATGTTTAAATATTTAAATATAATTTGAAATGTGATTTGTTAATGATTTTCAGAAGCCATTACTCCAGTCTTCAATGTCACACGATCTTTCAGAAGTCATTCTAATAAGCTGATTTGTGTGCTGCAGTCATGGCATACGAGAACCTAATTGATGTAAGCATGTTTGATGTTCAGGATTGATCTGGCGGTGTTGCTGGGGAAGACGCCTCCCTCCTCTTCCTCAGAGGCAGAGCCTGCTTCGCTTGAAGGCCCACAGCCGCCATCTCTGTCTCAGTCTTTGGTGTTCAGCAGCTCAAAGCAGACAGCATCACTGTCCCAGTCCTCCTCCGGTGCTCCTTACAGCCAGCACAGCATGGTGAGCAGGATGTAGTAATGAAGTCACACAGGTCATGTCATAGCTGTTTTTAAGGGTCAGTTTTTATTATTATTACTATTAGTAGTATTTTTGTTTTGGGGGCTATATTTTATCCAATTTGATGAACTTCATACATTTTTTATTTAATTGAAGTTAGATTTTTATAATGTTTATCACCTTTTTGACGTTTATTTTTTTTGCTCCAAGCCCTTGAGTTATTTCCATTTACTGTCCAATCAGCATCCAGATATGGCCAATCAGCATTCAGAACTGGTATTTAGTTCTAAATTAAACATTATCCTACCTAAGTAGCCAAAACATTGGAGTTTTGTCTCTCTGTGTCCTTTCTGCAGGTGAGCATGCTCGGTAAGGGTTTTGGTGATGTTGGTGATCCAAAAGGAACCACTGGAGGATCCACGACTGGTTCTCAGTTTCTGGAGCAGATTAAGACAGCCCGGGCTTTGGCCCAGCTAGCAGCCCAGCACTCACAAAGCGGCCCACCCAATGTTGGTCCTTCTACCTGGGATACCAGCCCCACTACACTGGGGCAGTACGGTAAGAGGGATGATGGTTCGAATCACTTCTATGATTGTTCGACCCTCTCTGTGAAGTCTTGTTCTTTCTCTTTATCTACAGATATGAAACCTCAAACAGAGCCTGTGCACAGTCCCTTCACCAAACGGCAGCCCTACCAGCCCACCTCCACTTCCTCCTCCATGATGGATGCCTTCTTGCAGGACAAAGCCACACCTGCTTCTACCACCTCAACCCTGCCTCCTCAGTCCACCCCATCGTCATCATTGCCCCAGGCCATCACCATCCCTCTCCCCAAACCCTCGGGACCCACCCCAGGTCGGCAGAACTCTTCCAGCCCAGCCGACCCACAGGCATCCAGCCCACTACCCCTGCAGCAGCACAAACTTAAACCGCAGAAGAAGAGGGCTTCCATCACAACCAAGGTCTCGATTGTCATAGTTCCTTGTGGTCTGCGTTGCTTTGTTGGGATTGATCAACTTTGCCTTGAAGAGTTGATCAGTCTGTTTACTCAAATGGTGTGATTTGCAGATTCCAGCCTTAGCAGTGGAGATGCCAGGCTCTGCGGATATATCTGGGCTCAACCTGCAGTTTGGAGCATTACAGTTTGGCTCTGAACCGGTGCTTCCGGAGTACGATGCCTCGGCAGTTGTTGCCACAACGACACCAGGCAACCAAGGCCAGAACAGCCTTTACACAAGTGCTAGCAAGTGAGTATCTCACATCTGAGGGAGATTGTCAGACTAAAGCTTTTATCTAACGCATTCATAGTTTCAAGCACAGGTTAAAATTGGCACAGTTATTAGGGCTGCACGATTTTTTTTTTTAAAGCACCAGGTTTGCTGTTCTCTTTGTTATTTGGCCAAAATTGTGACTGTATATCAGTATAATAACAATAATAATAAAATTATAATAAATTAAAAAAGAACAATATTAAACAAAATGGTAACTATTGAAATTGACAAATTATTTTTGTATACTTTTTTTTAAATATTTAAAAATGTATGTCTGCATTTCTTAATTTTTAATATTAAACCATCATGCTTTTTTGGTGGAAAACTGCAGGGAGAGGAAAAGACTTTGAATATGATAGCATGTTTTATAAGGACTTCTCGTTACAAATTTGGGAAGATGGTTGCCACATGTTGCTTTCCATAAATTATACAGGGATACAAGCTACTCTGAGATGCTGAAAACGCTGGATCATGAGCTGCTCCTGTCTAAAAGCACATGAAACATTAAGCGCATTTATTTAATTAGGCTTACATTGCAGCCTTTGCGACTTAAGCCATATCATGATTTCAGTTTTATTTGGATTAATCATGCTGCCCTGATTGTAACACAGTCATAAAATGTCGATTGATGTTTTTCTGGTTTTCTCCACAGTGAGCAAGCAACAGCCCTGTCCAACCCCAGTCAGAAGGAGCTTTATGAGCCAAGAGCCAGCCAAACAAGGCGCTACCCTCCTTCTGTGTCCTCCTCACCACAGAAAGACATTCAGTCAAAGGTGAGAGTCAATCCAAACAGTCAGACTGGGGTTGTCTATCAGTGTGTACCCCCCATGAGTCTTTTATGAAAATGACGCTTCATCCAAGCAAACCTTTTCTTTCTGATTACAGAATGGGTTCAGTTCGATGCAGACGTCACAATCTATGGAAGGTATAACTTTCAAGTTTTAATAATCAGAATCCACCCAACTTTAAATGAGCTTGAGCATTTATAGCAGCTGATGAAATTGCTGCTGCACATGCTTATAATAAACCGAATGTTATTGTCCGTTGGTGTGGACACTATTATAGTTATCACTCTTTGTAAACAAGCCTCGTGCAACATTGTTAAATATCCCATTATCTTTCCTAGCTGCAGCAGGCTCTGCAGTACCCGTGAAACCGGCGTCCGAATCAGTCGTCCCACCATCGGTTTCCAACATATCCTCATTGGCTGACCCTTCATCAGGTCCTCCTTCCCTGCAGACGCCTCTCAGTGCTCTCGGACACGAAGACACCTCGCCCAGCTCACTGACCCCTCCTCAGCACAATAAGTATGGCATTTTGTGTTTGCGTTACTTCAGTTTCATCTGTCTGGATAAGAGAGATGCTATAATAGTACTGCATGCTTCCCATCAGCTCCCTCCCTACACAGCAAAACAGTTTGGCACCTTCTTCAGTTCGCACTTCGAACACAAGTCTGCTGGTGAGTTTGCAACTAAATGTACAGCGCAAAGTCTGTGAAATCTGTATGGTCTGTTTACATAATGTTTTGTTTTGCATGGCTAGTGTTCTTTTCGTGAAAATATAATTACCGTATTGACCCGAATATAAGACGATGTTTTTTTCTTGGAAATGCATCTGAAAAAACGCGGTCGTTTTCTATTCAGGGTCTAGACTTTGACATGTCAATAATACACCCACAACAATAGGTGGCGCCAAATACGCATAAAACGAGTGTGCCATGAAATACATAATGTAATGCGTGTTGTAAAGATCGGAGTGAAAACAAAAGAAAAAGAAAACCTTACAGCTGCATGAGTCGTGACTGTCACGTTAGCCTGATGGGACCAAACTGCCTTTGTGATTTTAAAACGTAAGACAGTACCCAGATTTGAAGACTACAGTAAGATTTAACTTCTACTGTTAATAAGATTTTGGTAGGCTACTATTAGATGGATAGCCTAAATGTCCTAATTCAGATGGGCTACCTGTTTTTTTTTTTAATGGTATATCAAAAAGTGTATATTTTTTAAATGTGATTGTTGGTACATTTTACCAGTTTTTACCATACTTTCAAAACAAAAATTAAAATAGGAAAAATATGCAATATGAAAATAATTGAAGACAAAATGTGTTTTACTGAGAAAAAACAAGATTTGGTTTTTAAAAAGCCTTTTTCCAAAAGGTACATCTGGAAAAAGGGGGGTTCGTCTTATAATCAGGGTCGTCTTATATTCGGGTCAATATGGTACTTGATCTACTTCTGAAATGACTTTCGGTCATTTAAAATCTCAATTTATTCTTTAAAAAATTGTCTGTTTAGAAAATTGTTTTATTTTGTATTTAGTTCGTTTTTTTTATTTTTTCATCTTGTTTGCTCACTGTGATCTCCTCCCAGCACCCAAGCGTAGATGGCGATTCCAGCTTGCACTCCTCATCTTTCTCGTCGGTCTCTGCTGTGGCTCCTTCTTCAGTTCCCCCACCCTCTTCAGCTACTTCAGCGGCCCCTGTTTCCCACAGCGTCCCTGTTGCCCCCTCTTCATCTGTCAGTTCGGTCTCGGCGCAGTCTACACTGGGCCCAGTCAGCAGTCTGACCATGGTATTGAACAGTGTGGCTTCAATGGCCCCCCCTACGGCTGCTGCATCATCATCTGCTGCCTTGGCCATTGCAGCACCTTCATCTGCCTCATCATCTCGCAGCACGGCTGCCTTAGGTAAGAATACCGTGACACAAAATTACTCTTTCTGCGAGAGAGTGTTTCATAGGGTGCCATCTGAAGGGCTAGAATCATCTAGTACACTTACGTTTTATTTATTTTTGATTTAAATATGAATATAACATTAATGTAACTTTGAGAAATGCTTCCTTCAAGCATTGGATAAACCTGTGGTCAGGGTCCTGGACAACAGGTTCACTAAACACCTTGCAGCTGTTCTGCACCCAGCTGCTATTTCCACCTGTTTTCAGTTATCAAAGACATGTATACAACATGTATATAATGGGCATAAATGCTCATTTATTTCCACGTATATGGAAGAAAACCCCACAGTCTATTAATCTATAGTAACACTGATGTTACAGATGATTTTGCGGAATGACCCACTATTTGTTTAACTAGGGGGAAAACAGTGCTGTTGTTTGGAATAAACTGATGCAGAAGCATTATGCATCATTTTCAACATGTACAGTCAACATTCCTTTCATTATCTCAGAGATGTGTAAAACAAAACTTGGGAAATGCTTGATGTAACCGGATAAAACCATTTCAATATAATTTGATTATACGCTGCTTCATCTAAACAGGGAAAGCACCTCCAAACCTGCCTCCTGGAGTGCCGCCCTTGCTGCCCAACCCTTACATTATGGCTCCTGGCCTGCTTCACCCATACCCAGTGAGTGTTTTGTCTTTTTTTTTTTTTTTTCTATCTGCTGTTATCACTTCTGTACTCTTCAAGCATGCTTTATTTGTCATATATTGTTTTAGCTCACAAACCTCTTATGTCCTGCAGCCTCAAGTGTATGGCTACGATGACTTACAGATGCTGCAGACCAGGATACCACTGGTGAGGGTTTGTTGTTCCTGTTTGATTAGCTGAAGTATTTGATATGAAAACAACAGTGCTGGATTTGTTTGTAGCATATGAAGTTGAAACACTATTTTCTCCTGCTCCAGGACTATTACAGCATCCCATTTGCTACTCCAACCACAGCACTGACTGGCAGGGAAGGCAGTTTGACAAGCAACCCTTATTCTGGTAAGATGCACTCAAGTTTGGTTTGTGCATTGCATTCAGTGTCTGGTGAGGGGAACCTTAGTGTTTTGAGCCAAATGCTACATTTCCTGAAATGCTGTTTCTAAAATCTTACTCTTAGCTGGCGACCTGTCGAAGTTTGGCCGTGGCGACGCATCGTCTCCTGCCCCAGCCACAACATTGGCCCAGCCTCAACAGACCCAGACACAAACACACCACACCACCCAGCAGCCGTTCCTTAACCCAGCCCTTCCACCGGGATACAGCTACACCAGCCTGCCCTATTATACTGGTGTGCCTGGTCTGCCAAACACCTTTCAGTACGGCCCTGCCATGTTTCCGGTAAGCGTTCATAATGTCTTTTAACACCGTTGAGTTGAAGCTCCTCTGTGCCTGCTCAAAATTCAGTGTGAAGGTACAGCACAGCTTAAAAGCCAGACTGAATTATACTGAATATATTTATGACACTTCTGAGAAGTGACAAACAGTCTGCATAAACACTGCCACTTCAGAAGCTCTTTTGTGCCAACTTTGAAGTAGGGCTGGGCGATATAGCTAAAAAATGTATCAACGATAAAATGTTTCATAACGTTCGGTATCGATAATTATTGACATTTTTATAAACTTTTTTAAAACAGAGCAATAGAAATTTTTTTTTTTACGTTTAACCACTGTATTTTTAAATTAACTCAATTTATTGAGATAAACAACAAATATTTTTTGTTTTAACAGTCAAACACAAATTAAAAATTAAATATCTAATTTCTAATGTTTTATATGCAGATTAAGTAGGTTAAACTTTTGGCTTGTTTCCCGAGGCCACAGGAGGGCGCAATGAGCAAAATAAACACATTAAACTGAGCAAAATAAAATAAGCAAAATAAACACATTAAACTGTCCACACATGGAAATAACGGTCTATAAAAAAATGTGCATTACGTCTAAATTAACTCATATAAATCAAATAATTTCGTAAATTGAATAAATTATGTACAAAACAGCATCATGTATTTATGCATTGCTTAATACAAAGAGCCGAATCGACCATCACACAGATTGCCTTTAAAAACATATGAGACACAGTGAAAAGGAATAAACCTTCACAAATTCTTGCCGTGTTTTCTAAAAGTTTAAACTGTTTTAACTTTGCATGGCTTTCTATACATCTCTTGTGTGAGACGTGAGTGCGATAAATATCGATACCGTTTTATCGCCCAGGCCTACTTTGAAGTCTAAATTTGGCATTAGATGATTTAACATTGACACATTACTGCCTAGTCATATTTATTCACGTGTGTCCATAAGTGAGCTCTTTAATTTCCTAGACTCTTTCATTTTCAAAAATTTCTTACACCATGTCTCTCACTAAGCATACCCACTGAGTGGACATGGAAGATGCATTTACTTTTTGCATCTAGAACAGCACTCAACAGACAATCAGCAGTCTCAACTCAATAGACAGACACATCTCAAATTCAGTCAACAACTGGTCCTTTTTCTACTTCCTCTATTACCTCTATTTCTACTTACTATTCCTCTAATCCATTACATTTGTATGTGTGCCACAATACAGTAGAAATGATGTCACTGCCTTTTTCATCGCGACTCTGTGTTGCCAAATCCACTGAGAACACCATTTTGGCAGAAAGGAACCCCGGAACAAGATTTTGACAGGCGATTTTTGACCACAAATGGATGGGAAACCCATGGAAAAAAACGATTAGCAATTGGGCTGGTCTTGTTTTGCCGATGTGGCAACCTTGCCTTGATTTTAAAGGACTGTTTCTGAATGTTCCTCCAGGTGGCTCCTACCTCCTCTAAACAGCACGGTGTGAATGTCGGTGTCAATGCGTCTGCAACACCCTTCCAGCAAGCTAGCGGTTATGGATCACATGGATACAGCACTGGTAATGCATTTTCTTATGTTCATGCAGCATTTAAAATGCAGTAAAAGCGGTCAGATGCATAGTAGGTCTCGTAGCCATCTTGTTCCACAAGGCTGAGTTTTAAAGCCATGTAAAACTAAACTAGCTCAGTCACTTCTAAACCCTGCATTGGCCAAGTCTGTTCTTTTTCTTGTCTGTGAAGTTGAAGCATGAGACAATGCATCTTACAGTAAAGGTATAATCCCGGGGTACTCAACAGGCGGCCCGTCTGCATTCATTTTGTGGCCCGCGTCATGCTGAAGATGAATGTATTTTTATTACAATTTGCACTCAATATTAGTTTGATTTTTTTTAAATTAAATGTATACAATCGCAGTAGTAAAAGCTTCAACTAACATGCAATTAAAAAGCAACACGCCCCAAACAACCTAAACAGGGTGTCCGCGGGGTCTTAAAAAGTATTAAAAGTTGATAAATCAATTTAGAGAAAATTAAGGCCCTTAAAAAGTCTTAAATGCCATTTTCCAAGGTATTACATTTTGTATCATCTTTTCATTATGTATATTTGTCCGAATAGTGGGGTCCTGTGTATTTTATTTATGGAATCCCACAAAATTTGACTTCATCTGTTATGGCGCTCACTGACTGACTGCGCCGCTTCGTGATAGCGTGGGGCTTGTTGATCCTGCTCATGCTGAATTTCTGACCATTACCGCATGCTCCCATCCGCTCCCAAGATATTTGTGTCCGCTCCCGCAAACATTCTAATATTGTATATAATTTTCACGCATCAGGGCGCCGCTATCAATATGTGGGGTATTTAAATCCCATTTGAATGAGTGCTCTCAGTTGTAGTTCACTTTCGATTTCGCGACCGCGCGCGCACTGTGTAAAGGGAGCACATCCTACGATAAAAGATATTTGTCAATGAGCTCGGGATCTGTTGAGGAGCAAATCCTCCAACATCTTGTCAGTTATCTCTCCTTACTTTTGACCCATGATCAGTCAGATCTGACTTCTGCAGCTCGTGTTGGATGCAGGGTTGTTGTTGTTTTTTTCCACGAAATTGGGCTGATTTTAAACTGTTGCCTTATGGGTTGATTTTCCCAGTGGGTTAAAGGTTTGAAATATTGCATAAATTACATTTGGTTGAAATGCTTGTACTCAAACATTTTGCATTCTACCTGTAATAAAACTGTGCTAAATGTTTTTGGTCACACTAGTAGGAAGCATTTGAACTGTGTTTATGATAAATGGTCATAACAGTGAATGTAAAATATGTATTTTAGGGATGGAAATTACATTTTTATATTTGGGACATGGTAAATTGCACTACTTTGGGATGTTTTTTTTTTTTTTTACTGGCATGGGTTTTGGATGCACAATTAAAATGATGTAATAGTTGTGACCATTATTTTACCTTCCATGATCATTCAGACTTGATCAGGTGCAGTACTGACACTGTCAAGTCTGCATCAAATCAAGCACTCCGTAATCACCGTAAACTGTCTGATCAGTCAGATGTTTGTCTTGAGAAGTGTTCCACAAAACCGCTATGGTTTGAGTTGATGTGACAAATACATCTTTTGAATATACTGTGTGAGCTCATTGCCCCGTTAGCTCGGAGAGCTTTATTTTCCCTCAATAAGTTTTGTCAGTTGTTTTGTTTATTGGTCTAATTCTTGTTTCTTGGGTTGCATTGGTTAGTCACTCAATTAATTCTCTTGTGCTTCGTTCCCCCCTTCTGAATTATGTTGTATTGATAAGGAGTTATCACAAAGTAAGTCTGTTTAGTTGTGCTATCTTACAATCAATATATAGTAAATGTAAGTTAAAGTGTCGCCGATGTAACCGGTTAAAACTGGCGATGAGGTCTTAAAATGTATAGAAAGAGTCTTAAAAAAGGTCTTAAAAGGTATTAAATTTAACTCCATGATTCCTGTATATACCCTGTTAAAAGAGAAGCGTTATCCGACAAAAGAGGACATTTAATAACATGGTTTTTTTACTCCACAACATCAGCCGAGTGTTTGAAATAAGTTTTTGTCACAAATGAGGCAGATAATATATTCTATACGGCAATAAAGGCTGTGTCGATTAGCATTGGATTATAAATATAGTTTATTATTATGAAAATACCAGAGATAGCTTAAAGAACACAGACAAACCATATTGTTGCGTCGTATGTTTACTGTTGGATATTTAAATAAATAGCCAGATCGCGAACAGATTCAATCACCCATGCAATCTTGTTCATAAATGACAGGATTCAGCTATATGTCTATTAAAGCCTTGAATCACTCTTGTGACATTCAAATCTGCATTCGCGCTGCCACTGATCCAGAGAGAGCAGTTTACGTAGCCTATATGAAACATCTTTACAAAGTCTTTTGGATCGTTATTTCAGTGTTACAAACATTCAAATAATCACAGAAGTACTGGAATAAAAGTTTATAGTACGGATGCAAGGCCCGTTCACACCAAGGATGATAACTATAAAGATAACGATAAAGATCTAGTTCTAAACATTGTTCTCAATATTAAAGAATAGAAGAGTCCACACCACAGCTATAACGATAAAGGCACAGAGAAACGATATCATTGGAATCACTTTCAGAATGATTTTTTTCCAGCTGATGAACGATTAAAAACAAATTGAAAGCCAATCAGAATCCATCCTGCTATCACGAGATTGAGAATTTAAAGCAGCAGATGCATGTGCGCTTAGAATAAACAGACGATATCGTTCGCTGGTGTGGACTCTAATATCGTTATCTTTATAGTTATCTTTATAGTTATCTTTGCGGTAGATGCATGTGCGCTTAGAATGAACAGACGATATCGTTCGCTGGTGTGGACGCTAATATCGTTATCTTTATAGTTATCTTTATAGTTATCTTTATAGTTATCGTTCTTGGTGTGAACGGGCCTGTAAACACTGCTGTCTACAGAAGCGATCAAAATAGAAAAAATCACCTTTTTGAAAGTGACCATGCTTCAAATAAAGATTGTATTTCAATTACGACGTAATGGAGACAAGTGACTTAAAATGCGATTCGTTCAAAAAACATTGATTCATTCAGGAATGAAACAAGTGAAGTCTTTATGAGCGAGTCATGAAGTTATGAATCATTTGTTTAACTTTTTTTTTTTTTTTTTATCAATTTGTTGAATATTGTATTTTATAAATAGACTGCAGCAGTTTTGACTAGAAACTAGTAAATGACGTGTTATTTTGTTTAGTTGCCTGTTTTTTTTTTCAGAATCATGGTGGGAGAATAGTGATATCTATTTTAAAAATAAAATATTGATACAATATATAGTTAATATAAATATGAAAAATAATACTTTTCTAAAGAAATTTGTGAATTTGTGGGTTGTCAGGGCTCCAGACTGCGACCATTTTTTTTCTGCCTTGTGCGACAAAATTTTGTGTGTGGTTGCACTGGCGCGACCACCGCATTGTTCAACTCCTAAGCGCTGCCATTTCTGTTGCATATGAGAAACGACAAATGAAACTGAAAGCATAACGAAACCGCGCTACTCGTTTGAACTGCGCAGCGCTTCGAGTGTAGAGCATGGTTTATAGTCGCTGCGTCAGCACGAGTGCAAAGGTGCGCGCATCAAAAATGACGCGCATATTGACAGTTTGTCATTGTGTCCTACTCTTTTATTGTTGTTGTGCTTTTTAATTAAGAATAACAATTAATCCATATTTTGTTTGTCTTAAAAAGTGAAAGGTGTGTAGATGTATGTAAGCAAAACAATTATCTTTTCTCATAAAACGTGACCACAAGATCGCAAATTCGAAAGTGAAAGCATCCGAAGCCTGGCTTATAACATGGCAAAAGAGGGACTCCCGTTCACAATATTCAAATCGCAAATAATACTACTGATGAAAAAGAACGGGTGGAATGTTAAAGGTGCTGTTTTTGACTCTACTAAAGCATAAAAATACCATATGTTTGCAGATATTTAAGAAACATGCCAAGTTAACATACTTTTTTAACTAACTGTAGCATGGTTTTTCAGATATTCTCCTTTGAAAATGTGCGTTCCGGGCCGGTGTCCTGACATTTTATCCTACCCGTCAGATTGTCCTACCAGGGTTTACTGCACATGTGCACATCAGTATTGTGTCCTTTTTCTCACGCTGAACAACAGTATTTAATGTTATCTGCATTACTGTAAGGGTAGGTTTAGGGTTGGGGTACAACACAATCTAATAGGTAGAAAAAATTATTTATTGTTGGTTTCCTGTAGCTGTATATAACACACAATTACTGTATTTGCATTACTGTAAGGGTAGGTTTAGGGTTGTGATGGGTGTAGACGTTAATAAACCATAATTTTACAGGTTGCATTTTTCGTTGTCGAATTGTACTACCCACTGTTTTAATGGGAGGTAGCAAAATCTGACAGGGTAGCACAAATCGACAGAACACCGGAATGTCTGTCTCTGTTTTGGTTTGTGAAACCCGCCCACTGCCAGTTTATGCAATTGTATTTCGGTACCCCGGGTTGCCAGTTGGTGGAAAACACAGCACATTTCATTTAATTCATCGTCAAGTGTGCTCGTTCCTGTTGGTGTCGTCAATCTGGCAACCTGCGTGTGCCTCAAGTCTGAGGAGGAGGGGCCGGGTGAAAAAAAACCCCCTCTCCAATATTTTGACTTTGGACTGCAATACCTAGTTCAACCACTCGGTGTCAATCCTACATACAGCACCTTTAACCACTTTCGTTTCCATATAACTATAAACTATGATAAAAGTTCATCAGCATGCATTTATTAATCCCATGTTGTAGCGCAAAAAAATAATAATAATTGCGGCCAAATCATGTGGTTGTGCGACCAACTGAGAAAGTTAGTCGCAAAAGAGCGACCAGTGGGAAGAATTAGTCTGGAGCCCTGGTTGTACTATTGAATTGGAGCGTTCTGGACTGAAATCAATCTACAGCTTCAAGGATATGGCCAACTTTGAACATTTTAAGAAGATCATCTACTGTATTTAGTGAATCCCAACTGTGACATTTGAACTGTCCAAGGTTTGTGGAAGCAAGCACTGTCCAAGCAAGCACTTCAAAGTGCCGCCTATGGGTGGGTTTCTGTTAGGGGTGGGGGGGGGAAATCGATACAGCATAGTATCGCGATATTTTCTGCGGCAATACTGTATCGATTCATGGATGCCAGGTATCGATCTTTTATTATACTATTTGGTAGAATAATAAAATCAATTTCTTTACAGCCCACTAGATGGTGGTTTTGAGGTTGTTGTTTTTTGTTTTTTTTTCTGGTGAGGTCAGCTGGGTCACCTTCTGCATGCAGTAAGTTAGTAAAATAAAGATGGCAGCATTGCGGAAAGTTATCAGGAAAGCCCCGTCCACGTTTAAATCGAATGTAACACTGTTTTATTTATTTTAAATTTGACTAATTTTCTTTCAAATGCCCCAATTGCTGAAGGGTCTGCACAACTTTTTTTGTACAAGTTACCTGTAGTAGCACAGCAGTGCATACCTGTTTACATTTAATTACGGTGGACTAGATTAGACTGTAATACAAATAATTGAGTTTGCCAGGTGCATACAACATTTGACAGGTTTTCATGAAAGTGTTGGTCAGTTTATCTGCTTGACAATCCCATTTTGCACTGCAGCAGTAAAATTGAAGTGAGACAAACAAACTGAGAAATGTTTTGTTTTCGTTAAAATGGAAAGTTTTCCTTTGGGGGACATAATTTGAAGTTGGAAAAATTTGATAAATTACAATATATCGCAGAATATCGCAATATATTTAAAATTGCAATAATATTATATCGTGATAATGTCGTATCGTGAGGCCTCTGGTGATTCCCACCCCTAGTTTCTGTGGAACCAGTGATGCAAGGAGAATGAGGTGGGAGGGAGGTCGCTTGGTTGAGGGTGGTGGGTTCACACATGCTTTCCAAACGCTGCTTGCGTTTAATCTTCCACCACTTTTGAGCACTGTTTGTTTCACCCTTCCATCCCTTTGTTCTTACGCTCTCATTCGATCTCATTAAGTCTCTTATTCTTTAAATTCTTTGTCCTTGTTTTTCTTCATTCTTTTCTTCCACAAATTCCATCTTTTTTCTGTTACCTTTTCCATTCTTTTGTTGATCTTTTCCAGCTTCATCTTCGTTAGTCCTAATGTTGTTTTTCGATTCTCTTTATTTCCTGACTTATGTTCTTAAGTCACCAGTATTCTTTTCTGATTAGGCCCCTCCCCCAGCTTGCAGCGTCCCTGCCTCCATCCCTATGCCCCACCCCTTCACTCCTCCTCCTCCCCTCTGGCCCTGCCTGATGTGTGTCTAATGCTGTGGGGCTGTGGCTGTGTGTGTCTGACCGTTTGCAGGCTATGAGGATTTGGGCCAGGCTTCGGCAGGGAGCGGGGATTTCTGTAAGGGCGGCTACGGCACCGCCGTTGCTGCTGCCGCCGCTGCTGCCGCTGCTTCTGTGCAAAACAAGCCCGCCAGCTCCGTCACCGGGCCCGGAGTGGGTGAGTGCAGCCTCACGCTAAAACCCCCATTTTCCTTTTTCCTCCTCCCTTTTCTTTCGTAAGCTCTCTCTCTCCCCCCTCATTTGCTCCTAACTTACTACTGGTCAAGCTCGATGAAGCCGTCACATTCCGCCTGGTCTCAGATGGAAGGAGATCGGGAAACTGTGTTTCACTAGGAAGGGTGGAGGACATGTCAGTCTCTCTTTCCTTGGGTAGAACATCAGGGTTGTTACTCCCGTGACTTGAAACACCAACATGGTGACAGTCTTTAACACTTTCAAAAAAGGTTTCCTGATGGATGCAAGAAGCCAACTGCCCAAAAAATGCTTAGATTAGTGGAATGGTTTGAATGCCTTTTTTCCCCCTCCAGTAATTTAGTTCTGGTGAGCAATTTTTGTTTCTCTGAAATGGGCTAATGTTTACTGTTAATGAGGTAAAATAGCAGTTCTGATGAGAGCAGTGGTCTCCTTAAATTTTATTTATCTTCATCTCAATGAAAATGCTTTATGCATTAAATTGTGTTAATAGGTTTTTCATCTTGTGATCATTTTGGCAGCTTGATGATCTGGGATAAATTTGTGTTTTGTGTTTTACACTACTTATGGCAGTCTGCATTCATCGTTGTTTTTTTAAGCAAATTGTGTGTGTTTGTGTGTGCATGCTCTATTTTAAATTGCATATATTGGTCAACAATACGATTTGCTTAAACCAAGTTAAGTTAATTTGAAACTATTTTTGGGAATATTGCAACTAAAGCAAACTGTTTTAATATAATATACTTTATTGCTTTATAAATCCAATATTTGGTATCTACTTTTATATAGTGTCAGGGATTACAGTTCCGTCGCTAAGACGGATTTCTGTCAGTTCATAAAGACAGTCACTTGCTTCATTCCTGAATGATTCAGCCATTTGAACGAATCAATTGAATGAATGATTCAGTGATAAAATCAGTGACTTGCCGCCACCTGCTGGCGGATTTAGTTTCATTTTTAGCATATAATTTCAGTTATTTGAATCATATTTCTGTATTCAAATTTTTATGTTTAAAACATTATTCTCCACATAAATGTATAAATTCAATTGCACTCATGCCACCTCTGAGCCTCATTAAACGTCTGAAAATGTACCTACAAGCCACTTTTGTGTTATTCTG